CTTGCAATTCTAGGCTGGATTTTTTGAGAGTAAGTACAAGCAGATGATAAATGACAATGCAGAGGACGGTCCAGATCCAGGGACTGATGGAAGTCCATCCACGGCAGAAAAATAAAGATCACATTTGTAGTTGCATGTTTAAACTATATGAAAGCTATAGATCCTCCTTATAATTTTAGAAGTCAACATTTTGTGTAAAAATGTCAATGCTACCACATTGGATTAATTAAACCAAAAACAGCTTGCTATATCTGACATCATTCTTTCACCCACTCATTCAACACTTTACACTTTACTATAAAATGAATATTTCTGAGTTTAAATTGCAAACATTGTACAGTGAATTAGAATTTTTGTGCTTAGTGCAGTGCGATACATGCAAATTCTTGTTAGTTTTTGTAGTTTTGTGCTGATAGTTTTGGCGCAACTGTCTCTTTAGCACCACCAATAGGTGATTTTGTGAATAGTTTTGACACATAGTGACACTGCAGGAAGTGGAAAGAAGTAGGAATTTTTAAGGAAGCTACACATGACTGCAACCAATCCACATGCATCAGCCATTAATCCTTAGACCTTTCTGGCATCATCTGTATGCATATTGTTTATATGATCAAAAACAAAAATAATCCCAATACAGTGTCATGTGCTGTTTAAAACATAGTGCTGTCAGTATTGTAGCTCGGTGTACACAGGGCTTCCTCTAAATCACTGACGTAACTCTGAACAGTCACCCTGTAACGTCTGCATTTTGGTTTTCAACTCTGACTTTGTCAGCAGAATCAATACGTCACTCATTTCTCAAACTACTTTCATGGATGTAACACAATGGACTGTTTAGTGTGATGCATGCACAATCATTCTTGTAACAACATCCTAAAAAGTTGATTCTGTTCATCTGTTTGTAGCGTTTTTAGTGGAAGAAACATTCATAAACTCATCTAAGTGAGTTTTTCAGTCTCAGCTGTCTGCAGATTTCAACAACCTTATAAATTAGGGGTGTCAAACATAAGGCCTTGGGATTAGTGTTGGCCTGACAAAGACTTTAATCCTGCCCACTGGACAACTTGAAAAAGAGGGCATA